GGACCTTCTGTAAATGAGAAGGACAGTCATGGTAGGTTATCTGGCAGCGCAGTGCCAACACAGCATCTGCGTTCAGGGCCTCTTCTGCCACAAGGTTACCACTTGCTTCGAAGCACAGAGTTGTTCTCCAGTGGTTGCCTTAGTTTGTGTCTTTGGAAGAGTGGATGGCATCAACCCAGACACTCAGAGATTCCTAGAAACAAATTTAAAAAGTGTTTTACTAATGTGTTTTTGAGTTCATGGACATGATACTCAGTAAGAACAGAAATGCATTGATACTATAGTATTATACTTCAGTATTCTCTTCATTTCCTTCTCGTTGCAGTAGATATTTACAAACATGCAATTGTAAATTGGGCTTCAAGACACAAAGTCTGATCTGCAAGAACTGGCAGCAATGCTCAGTAGCAGCTGTTTCTGGTATAAAACCAGCAATGTGCTGCAGAAAGCAGAGAGAGGGAAAAAGAGTCCAAGCAGAAGCAGAAAATTTGCAAAGCAACATTTCCAGGTGTCTCCAGCAAGCTGAATGTGCTCTATGAGAGGGTGGAAAACCGCAAGGAAAAGAGAAAAAAAGGAAATGTCTTTCCGTCATTCCTGGCAGCCTAATGTGAGGAGAGGAATCCCTTCCAAATTCGGCTGCTGGTTTAACCCTGATAAAATCAGGAAGACAAGGTTACCACACAAGTGAATTTTCATGCTTCTAGAAGAACTTGCACATCCTGGCCATGGGTACCAAACTTCAGTGCTCCAGAGGATGATGATAACCTCCAGAGGAGTCATATTGCTGGGTGGGAAAACTCTTCCTTGGCCATTATGAGCAAAGAGCAGTAATCCGGTATGCCTTTAAGTTATGTCATGTCTGTAGCAAGGGTCATATATATGGGTGGGACCTCATATTACTCAAACACTGTGACCAAAGTATTTTTTTATATTTCTCAGTTATCTATCCTTAAGATAATGTTGTGAAGGTGTTTTGTAATGCTGAGCTATTGGTAACATCTGAATATACCTCACCCACTCCAGCAAATGGATTTTTTTAAAAAATAACCACCACCCTCATATGCATACCTCCTGAACGTAAATGCATTTTGGGCGAACATACACAGCAAAGGGCACGCAGAATAGTGGACATACACTCAGCCATAACTTCTTCAGCCACCAGGTACCTTAGACCTTCACAATAATGTTCAATTTGGTGGTAGTCGAGCCATGCTGTATACATATGACCAGATTCATGAAGGGTAATAACCTAGAAATTCAACGGTTTCTTCAGAACACTTTGCAGAGGGACTCCAGTATATGCAGTAGGTGATAGAGAGGTGGACAGAGCAACAGGGAGCTAGCTCCCTGCAGATGCTTCCAAGAAACAGATTTCAGTGTAACAGTCCTGCAGCACAACACTATTACAGTAGGGGTGTCTGATGGATGTATCATTCTCCTAATTTATCTCACTGAGCCAACTGTCTCTTGACAGGCACATAGCTTGCAATTTTTCTCAAGTGTCTTTTGGCTTATCTGACACTTGAAACACAAGATGTAAGTCTGGTGACACCACCTCCAGCATCACACTGAACAATTTTATTTGGCGAAAAACACAAATTTGGACTGAGTCAGAAGTCATAGAAATGGAAACATATGGAAGAAATTAGGAAAGACAGGCAGGTTAGAGAGAAGAGGAGCAGAGAAGAAAGAAAGTTAGATCAGACATCATAGAAGACAAAAAGGGACAAGGTTTGGATCAGACAAGATCCCAATTTGCAAATCTCTG